TTGACATAGGAAGAAAGAAACTGGTTAGGAGAAAAGAAAAAAAGGGAGAATTTTGCTGCTTTTGTTACAAATATCCTAAAAAAGATCATTCAAATAACTGCCACGCCTATTACAGAGGGAGTGATATTTAAGGAACAATATTTGTTACATTATGTGGAGGCATGCAAAAGATTATGAAAAACATATCGCTTGCTAGTAGCATTAAGGAATACAGTGATAATCACCAAGCAATTTGGAGAAACTAAAACTCATATAATCTCTATTTGATCATAATCTTCCCTTTCAATTAATGTCTTGTTTGTAGACAAGAGTTTCTTACATTTCTCATTTTAGCAATGAACATAACACTTTTGGATGAGCCATTTTGACTAAAATTATTATTTTTTCCAATCATTCGATACATATGTATTTAATGTCTTTTACATGTCAAAACTGGGAAAACTACTGAGGCATTGAAATCAGACTATATCTTGATATTTTCGTGATATTTAAAAATGAAATATATGGGTTAATTTCAGCACAATCAGTTTTAAATATACAATTACTATTTACAGAATGGGAACCAAAGTATGCATATATTAAAATATGCACTCATTTGAACATATTTGCAGAAATGTATTTAATTATTTACAATGAAATAGTTAAAGACTTTTGTCTGGTTTACATGCTGAAAGTGTAATACTTTTCATAGTTAAAAAAACACCCTAAACTAAAATATTATACAATTACGTGTAAATATTAATTTTCCAATAATGTTCATTCTGCATGTCTTTCCACAAAGACAACCACGACTGTAATTCTTCAGATGGCTAATGCTAATGCTGAGAAAGTCTGTATGTGGTATGACATGAGATTAGTTTAATCAAACACTCATTTCTAGTAGCTCTCAAAATCGTATGCTTCTTTCCTCCGTTTCTTAAGAACATCCACCATGAGAGAAGATCTTTAGACTAAGTAATATGTGCTCTGTGTTTCTGAAAGGAAGAAACAAAGAACTGAAGATAAAGGCTAGATTATGAGAGAAGACAGGCACTTTTTGGGTTTAATGTGCGTGAAATTGTATGCCTTGGAAGAAAGACAAATTGTCAGCAGGATACAAAGTGGAGATTCTTTGCTCAGAAATACTCTATGTAGGTGCTTAGTTGTTTTATTGTTGTCTCCCTAACACAAGTTATTCCTGTAAACTGGCTAAATGGAGGAAGTTCTATGTGAAGATGCCATAATTTCGATACTAAATCAGGCCAGGAGAGATGGGAGTGGGGTGAAAAGGAAGCTGGGAAAGCAAAAATGTGACATTGGTAAATGCTGAGGTTTAAACTTTGGGATGTTTGTGTCATCTCCTGGGGAGAAAAATCAACTCAAAAGAAAACGCTAAGGCTATAAAAGTCACACTGCAATGAAGGTGACAGGAACAGAGAAAAGTATTGATTCATCTGTCCCAATTTGGGTTACGAACAGGGTATCTGTGAACGGAAACAAGAAAACACAGACAGGGGGAAGAAGTTAACACTTAGAAAAGATTAGTGTTAGTGATTTGGAAAAAAAAAAAGGTACAAGACACTCAAAGAAGATGTTCTCACTAATTTACATCAGCATCTGTTTAAAAAAGTCATGCCATTTTGTTTGATTCAGTGTAAGGTTATTCTAAAACTCTCATTGTTCAAATATGTAGTTTATGTAATGACTCCTAAAAATGTGTGCAAAAATTATAGCAAGCTTACTGTGTATATGTTTAACTATATTTCTCTTGTGTGATGTAAAGAACTTTGTTGAATGTCTATATTACCTCTTATATGCATAAATATCATTAATATCAATGTTTTCCTACATATTTTAGTTTTTTCCTATATTTCCATTTTATTATAATTTTAATTAAAAAGTATAAGCTTAAAAAGTAAGAGCTTAAAACTCAGTATTACCATAGAAACACATGGATGTTTTTATTTTAAATTCAAAATAAAAATGAATATTACTGAATTGTATAACAAATAGAACCTAACATTACTTATTTGTTTGTTCAGCTGTTCAATTACAACATTTTCAAACAACAATAATGAATCCTAAATCTGAAGTTTATCTCCTAATAATAGAAATCTTTTAGCGAGTATATTAAGTGTAAAGATTTTCTCTTATAATACAGGTAATTTAAACAATGTCTTAATTTATTACTTAGATAAGAACCTCATTCTAAACAGTGGGTAGCATTTTAATGGCTCAAATCTAGTTTATGCCATAAAGCTTCATTATATATTTGGAAAAAATAAAAGTTTGTAGTGATTTAACTGCTTTAAGAAAGGAATACAACCCCCTTCAAAGTAAGTAGCAAAAGGAATGAAAAAAAAGAAAAAAAAAAGTTTTGGGCCCTTGAAGTACTTACTTTCACTATGTGGTATTACAATACTGATGAAAATTAAGAGTTAAAATTCAACAAGATTGAATAACTCATGAAAATATAAAGGAAAACAAAATCCATGGAGAGAAAGATAGCTGGATCTTTAAGAACAGGTATTAATGAGAGACTCAAATCTTGGCTCTGACACTTTCTAGTTATTCTACATTTTACATGAGATATTTACTTATCCAATGGAGACTCATTTTCTTCTTCAGTAAAATGGTGATACTCACAGCTAACAGGGAGGATAGTGTGAGAATTATAGAAAAGTGTATGTAAACATTTGCATGTATGTAAACATTACATGTATGTAAAATTTAACCCATGTAGTAAGTGACATGTAGTGTCAATAAATGATAGCTATCATAAATAAGTGAATTTTTTCACCATTGGAAAAAATATATTTTATTCTGGAGACAAGAACAAGAGCTTAGTGTTGATCAAAATCACAACTTACTACAAGATCAAGGAAGGTCTATAAGCTGAGACCCAGAAAAATTTAATAGCTTACCTGGACTGAAGGACCCTGGGCTTTTTTTTAAGTAACCATACCATAATCCCAGGCTTCCTGATCTCTGGTCATCTTTCCATTAAACCAAGCTACCTTTCTAACTGAGTCCCTACACTTTATTTGATGGTCTATGTTTTCTTTAGGATTATTTTCTTTAAAATCAAGTTAAATTTACTGAAGGAATTCCCAGTTATGCATTATACTTTTCATTGAACCATGCTAAGGATAATTTAAACATAATCATGCTACACCATATAAACTGGCATATAAACTAGCAATTGATTGCACTTAAGTTTATAATTATTATTTAATGAAAACATATTATAATTAAATAATTAAAATATTATATTTTAGTATAATATGAACACACTTCTAAGGCAATCAGTAAATATTCAGGATTATCAGAAATGTGCAAATATAAGCTATTAAGGAATATGATTGTCCATATCTAGAAATTTATAAGAGAAAGGAAACCTGCGGTAAATTATAATCCTTTTATGTAAAAGTATATGAGCACATTCTTACTTCTTGAAATAACTTAAGTAGATGATTTTTTGGAATAAGTTTGGTAGAAGATTTTGGAGTTTGCTATCCACAAAGAAATTCTGAAGAAATACAGAAAATTGAGCAGATAGATGTGAAATCCTATAATTTTTAAAAATTGTGAAAAAAATCTATAATTTGACTTTCCCACTTTAGCCTGTATATTTCAAAATATGATTTTAAGCTTCCTAGAACTGTCTTTACAACTTATGTATACCTTATGGTATATTTTTATAAAATGCCTTTGGAAACAGCTAATGTACATTTTTTACAAATATCTTATTATGCAATCTAAATATAATTGTCACAGTTCCCAAATGGACTTTGATTGCTATTTCTTTAAAATATCACTAATGAATGGTTAGTACAATCTTCCAATTTTCATAGACGTGTCCTTGAGATAACAATGTAAGAAGCGTCACCTCAATTGAGATTTCAATAAAACTTAACACACTTACGCTTTTTTATAATAAAGAAACTGAGCTTACAAAACTTCACTAAACTTTCTCTAACCCAACACTGTAAATAAAGCAAAAATAAAATATTGTCTTGATTACTTTCGACATTATTTTTAAATTTAAATTCCTTCTTACTGGCCAAATTCCTCTCTATTTTTGTTGAATGACAACTTATGAGTCATGCACTGCCTCTTAAATAAGCACAGCGGAGGCCAGGCTAGAAAGCCTTCTTGGCACAGTTTACTTGCTGATCTCCAGGTACTTCGCTTGTTCTGAGAAGTCACAGGAAGTTGGAACCTGGGTTTTGTTTATGGCCTCAGGTCTTTTATACCTCTGGGATCAGCTGAATATCTTATATGAGAATACAAGACTTCCTGAGTGATCCTCACCTAAGGAATCTCATGAATAATGAACTAGATAACTCAAGTATATTTTTATTTGAGATGGTGATTCTACCCTTGGGTAAGAAAAGTCAGAATATATTTCAGTTTTGATTGTTTATACTTCGTTATTCCTGAAGAAAAAAAATAAATTTTTGGCATATATCGGTATCTGATATAAAACACACTTCTTGAGGCTATAAAAGATACATTTTGAAGAGAGCTTTACTTCATGTAATCCTTGTATTTTCTTCTCAGTCTGCTTCTATTTGCAGAACACATGTTTATTTCTTGAAATGTTGATACCACAGGAAGTTCAGATATAAATGCTTCTATACCAGTTTCTATACCCACTCTGTATAATAAATATATATGAATACACTTACACTACCTATTACTTGGACCTGGAGGAATGTAGCAGTGGCATACCGCTTTCAACCTTTTTCTAAATGTTTCATGTTCTTGCGTCAAGAATAGGTATTGACGTACAGAAACATTTGGCCAAAATTAAAAGCTGCAGGATCGTGTAAGCGAAATGTATTAATTCTTCCAATGGTGGGGAGAATTTGTGATTCTAAAACATTAAAATAACCCAATTGTTTTTCATGCAATCATGTAAATATTTTTATGATTTTATAGAGAATATTTTCTTAAGGCATGCAAAATAAAGCTTAATATCTTTTCTTTTTAAGAGAAAATCATAGGAATATACATACTGTAAGGAACACACTCATACTGCACTTCAAGGTACTTGTAGGTTCCCGGACACGGGTCTGGAAAAACGTCAGGACCGGCCACCACTGCACACTGGGTCCTGTTATTGCACCTGAAATCAAAAGAAAAGAAGAAACAAGTTTATGCAAAGTTAAATCACTATTAACATTAATACTAAGCTTATTTTACTCCCTGTTATGCAGACTTAAATCAGGTTTTTGTCAATTTAGGATTCTACACTTATTGAGGAAGTTCTGTTGTACACTATAAAATAAACTACACATCAAAAGCAATTCATTCTGTTTACTCATATAAACTAATTTAATATTTGATTGAACGCAGCATGATTTTGAGTTAGAAGTAAAACACTAACTGGTCCATAGGATATTGCCAATGTGAAGGCAGGTTAGAATTATTTGGTAGGAAAGACTCACTCCCGTTATAAAACAATATTTAAAACATATAACTACAGTTTTATTAGACAATTTTAAATTAAATTCACTGGTTATCATAACATTCATTTTACAGGCAGTGAAAATATGGTATTGAAAAGCTTTTAGTCAAACCTAAAAAAATAGTAGGGAGTTAAATATTTAAATATTAAAATATATCTAAATTTTAATTTATATAGCTTAGTACAATAATAAACCATAAGTAAGACCATTTTTAAGAATTATCATGTTTATTGTGTTTAGCCAAATAATGACACTAAACTTACAGACTGCTGTTCAAAAATGCCAATAGTCTATAATTCAAAATAACTTTAAATCTTCAAAGAGAATAATCAAACACCCTATTCAAACAAATACAAACTAGGCATTTTTTGCTGCAATAGAGTTAAACAGATCTGGGCTACAGTGATTTAACCATGGGTAAATACACATGTAACAAAACAGATTCTTACTCTGAAAAATACACCCATTTCAGAGTAGCCTCATTATGGTTAATTTTACTAAGAAACTTTCTAGATTCAATAATTTATCAATTAGTAGACATTTCCTATTAAAAACATGTCTTTTTTCCACTCAAAATGTTGGCACTACGAATATAGGATGAGACACTCCAGTTAGGTTCTGTTTATGTTCTTGTTTATTCATCTCAGAAATATTTACAGCTCAGGGCTAGATTTTTCTGTTACTTTCTTAAAGAAATACTTCATTCTCTTATATGACCTATACCTCTGAATTCTTGCTAGGATACAGAGGGACAGGGAGGACTTCGGAAAGAACTCATTTTGATTCCGAGTAAAAATGCTTTGTGTTTACACAAGACTACCACTTGTCAGGCTTAATGAGGATTTTATTTAGTCCCTAAATTAAAATTGATTCTTTGGTGACTGTCTTAAGCTGAAAAATTCATTGTGTTATTAGCAAAAGATAAATAAAAGCCAATATTCCATACTCATCAGACAATTTAGCATAATGGTTAATCCTGAGGGTCAACATGTTCTAAAGTTCTCTTGTGTTAGATGTAATGTCTGGAAATGATTATCAGACAACCGTGTAACAACATAATGTAAATGTGTCTGTCTTCACACATGCACTGCAAATAGGGAGCTTGATGTTTTCGTGTACTCTAACTTTTAAAAATAGCAGAACTTCCCTGTTACCTAGAAAACCCATTTGAAGAAGCTCTTCCAAGTTAAAAGATGTTTTTGCAGTTAAAGCAACATAATTTCCATATCACACCTTGAAAAAATAAACTCATAAATCTGTCTTAGAATGTTATAAAATGAGCAGCTATATAACCACAATTGTTATGGAAAAATTGGCTATTGTCAGGAATGCATTTGAAGTATAAACAATGAAAAATAAAAGAAACATATGCAACAAAACGTGATGATATGTAAATATTCTCTAAGTGTAATATTATTGTTGATCTCCAGTTCTTGGCCTGCTTTTGTTTTAGTTAGTATTATGAAACTTCTTTTTTCTTATTACTACAGATGTAATAATAAAATTCATTTAGAAGCTGTGTCCATTCTTGTAATTTTCAGATATAGATGATTACAAATATTTTATTATTTAAACAACCGATTTGTGACAACAAATTAGACTAATACTCATTTATGAGTAGGACAAAAATGTTAAAATTTATAATTATGGAAGTGTTGGTTTCACAGAAAGTTGTCTTGAATAAACAAAATTTCAAATGGTTATATTCATATAGACTAGACTTAAAAATATAATATAGACACTATACATATCCATCCATCCATCATCTAAATATGTGCATTGACTTATTTACATATTATTTAAGATTTCAAAATACTAATCATTTATGTATTTGTAGGAAAATTGAAACAAGCAACTATCTGTTATAAATATTAGACAAAGTTGTGAATACCAAATATCCTAATGTCAACCAGAATTAAGTATAAAAAAAGTCTTCTAATTAATAGATAGCATATGGAAAGAAGTATAAAAACCAAAATATGCTGTACCAATAACATATTGCAGTCATTGTCATCATCATTCTATAGAAAATGATGATGTTTTACAACATTCACTTTTCAAAATAATTACGTATTCTCTTACTATATCAAATACTTTTAATAAGTTAAGATTCTTAAAAATCAAAGAAGAAAAGTAATCTCTGGAATATTATTTCTGTATAAGATACATTATCATGTGATTTTTAAAGACTAGCTAGCTACATTTTGAAAACAGGAGTTTAAAGCTCTGTTCTCATTTTTTTTATGATTTCAATTACTGTGAGTCAAAATTAAATTAACTTCGATATTAAAGACTTCTGAGCAATTTACACATATAAGTGTATTTTTACAGTTATATCAAAATTGCCTAAAGTAAATTAATTCTAAAATAATACAGATGATAAAAGTAAAATATAATAATTGAATGTTCCCGCATACTTTAAACTCAGATTTTCCATTATTTAATTTTAATATAAATTAAAAGTGATTTCCAGTGTCCCTGACAGTAAATATATTTTTGTAACACACAATAAAGGATGAGAAAAGATTGCAATAACATGGCAAATGCATCCTAATCCACTAATAGTCACAGAGAAAATATCATAATCTTATACTAGTATGAGGGCTTATTCACAGCAATAAAAGTTTAAGTATTTTTTCACCAGAAACTAAATGTGATAAAAAAAAACTTCTATTTCTACAATTGAGAATTTGAAAATAAAGTATAAGCAAGTGACACTGAGAAATACCAGCCCAAATTCTCAAATAAATCACTTGGAGCATCAGCTTTCTCACACCTGACAAAGTGGATGTGCTTATAAAATGCTTAGAAACAATTATAACGTATCATATATATGCCCATGGCATACATTTTGCTGTTATAATTAGTTATCATCATTATTGTCATTATCAACATTAGTCATCTGTTTCAGGGTGGGTTAAGAACACTTCATTCCAGATAGACTGAATCTTTTGAGAGAAACTTACAATACAGAGTGACACAAAAACACACATACATTCTTTTTGGTTGAGAGTTGAAACAGGAAAAAACAGATTCACATTAAGAAACAAACAAACAAACAAAAGCAACAAATGGAAGCCAGGTAGTCAGCTGTATGCAAACTAATTTACTTGGGCCACTTCAAGATAAGTCCAAGATTTACAGTCCTATATCTGTGTAACCCTTAAACCTTAGAAAACATGTTCACATATAGTATACTCCCTGTTGCTTCTTTTTTGAGATGACTATTACTACTCTCGATTTCACAGGGGAGGGAGAAGTTGTGGAGAAGTTAAATAACTTTCACTCTCAGAAATCAAATGATAGTCACCAGGCTCAAGGAAAATGACCTGAAAACCACAACCGTGCTGTCTTGTCTGAGCGTGAGTCATATATTTTATGGTCACTCTGGGGAACTGATTTAATTCACTGTGATAGATTCAAGGAGCACTGTACTGTGATGATCTGATGAGGCAAAGACCAGCTGTAAACTGTCTAAGTCACCCAGAGCTCACTCATTCATGGTGTGGGTCAGGCACTCCAAGGAAGTTCTGCATTTACATGAGCATTACATAACGAAGCCCTCTCAGTCCAAATTGGCATGTAGCAATTAGAAAGATCAATCTCTGAACAAAAGGAAGACGGAGTAATTCAATCAATGAATGAATATTTATTTAAATGTAAACTGTTCCAAAAAAAAATGCCATTTTAATTCAATCCACATACAAACTTCCCACTTCAGTATACTTGCCATTTACCGATGAAGTTTATTTAATAAATGTTATATGTTATAATATGTTGAATGCTCTTGGTTATTAGCAGTAATTTTAAAGCAATATTATTTAAATTAAAAAGATGTGTTATGGGCTGGCCAAGTGGTGCGTTGGTTAAGAGTTGGCTTAGGACGCCAGCTCTAAGCAGCAGGGTCCTGGTTTGATTCCCGCATGAAGGCCAGTGACTCTGCCCTCTACAGTTAAGATGGTGAACAACAGCTTGACCTGGAGCTGGGCTGCCATGAGTCGCCGGGGACCATGTGGGCTGCAGTGGAGCTGCAGTGGGCTGCCATGAGCTACTGTGAGTGGCTGGCAGCCAGTGTGAGTTGCCAAGAGCAGCTGTCCAGTGGCTGGAGACTGATCTACCTCAACTGGGAAGAGTGCAATGATAATACCAACATGGGCCAGTGAAGTGATGCCCTACACAACTAGACTGAAGAACAAAAGAACAGCAACTTATCTGTTCCCCTCCCCCAATTTTCCAATAAAATCTTTAAAAACAAAAATGAAAAATAAAATAAGTAAAATAAAAAGATGTGTTATGATGACTGCCAGGGAAGATACGTATAATCACAGGATTAGTAATCAGATACAGAATCATTTGTTGCTAATTTATTCCTTCCAATATAGTTCATAGCATGTAAGAGCAAAATTAGTTAAGTATAATAATGAAAAAGTCATCTCTGGGCAAAACAGTTGCTGGGGTTTATGTGCATATCAACTATTTAGATAAGTTATTATTTTAAAAATTAATTAATTGGCCCCTTTTCTGCTAAATACAATAAAGTGATGTCTGCTTTAACTTCCATTATCCAGATAAAAATATCCAGCCCATTATCTTATGTTTGGTTACAACATATTTAAGGATGAAGCATATAAAAATGAGCCTTAAATATAATTGTATT